CACCTCTTTTGTCAATGGAATAAAACTGTCAAAAAGTGAAAGATTGACAACGCGTGCTTTTCCCACAAATTTCTCCCTAGGGAGTCAGATTGGGGATGGCCTGAAAAATTCCTCTGCAAACACGACACATTTTAAAACTATGGAAAAACATATATCAGGGTGGAAAATCAATAGAATTCATCACTCTCTGTGAGATGATGGAGGAGGAAAGCCAGCGAAGGAACTGTGTTCAGGCACTTTTTGCCAGCCACATTGCAAAGAGCACAAGAATCTCCACCCTCCAGTGGTAAATTCTTTTTGCGAGAAAATGAATGAATTTGTGTTTCTTTCACCCTCCTTTTGGATGGTCCTCAAAGCATTTTTCTTTCACGAGCCACACGAGGTGGTTTTTTGTTTCAAATAGAAACAAGTCACGATAAACGTGAAGAAGATGAAGACTCAGAGTGTGTGTGAGAAGAGGACAGCGGAGGAATTGAAGATAGATAAGACATCCCGTTGCACATTCTTCATAATTAAGTGCCACTTAGCTTTCTCTTTAGCCACAGCGTACAGCCAGCAAATCTCATTTCAGGTTGATACAAAATTATTCCTCGAATCTGGCGCTGGGTTTTGCCGGGTCGTGGACCGTCAAAAGCTGTAATTCACAGTGAAAGCGCTCCCACAGACGAGATAAGCATTTTGGGGGGTGATATACAGCGAATCTCCCTTATAAATAATACTTCTCGCTCGCGAAACAAAGAAAACGGGTGGGATTCCAGTGTGAGATACGGGAAAAGGGTGGTCGGAGCTTTCACTGTGGGGTCAGTGGGCCATGTTTATGGGCGAGGAGACCACGATTTGTCGCCTCTTGTCTCACCCGACCATCTGCCCTCGGCTCTGCCACCCATAAAAAGCCCATAAGCAGCTCATTGAAGTGCCATTCACATTCCTCGAGGGTTTTATCAATTGCATGCATTTTGTATGCCCGTCAAATACGCAGCCGAAATTCATTTTTGGCAAATGAGAAGCATGGGATTAGTTTCATATGCGCTGTCAAATAAATATTCAAATTGATTTAGAGGGCTTATAATTCGATACGGGTTCATTCTATAGTGTTTTAATATAATCATTTCGCTGGAGCGCGTACTGTTGCATAAATCAATATTTGGGATTATAGGCAGCATTTGGATAGATTAAAAGCTCACACAAACACAAGCGCGATATTTGATTACCATTTTAGAGCACTGCACTCCCAAAAATAAAACTAATTTGACTGTCATTTGACTGCTCTACACACCTGAGAAATGTCACGGATGAGCACAATTGCGACATTCAGCGGAATATCGCACAAAGTTATCTAATTAAGCAGTAGTGGAAGCTGTCGAAAATTAATTTGTGTTGGAACTTTTCAATTTTCCCCCAACTTTGTGCATCATTAAAGTTGATGAATGCACTTCAAACCCACCCACAACGTATCAAAGTTGAGGATCATCGAGCATATCGATCTCATTGGGTGTGATAATGAACTTGGAGAGGGTGTATCGCTAGATTTATGGGGGAATTTTGGATTAGGCGCGCGTGGGGTGAGTCTGCAGGATGACGCGGAGTGTGAATGAGCGACAATGTCACAACGATGCAAAATGCCATGACGGCACACTCGAGATTTAATCACAAATTCCAGGGAGAAATTTTAATGGGAAACTGTGAAGTTCCACGCACGCCAGCATAAGTGATAAGAAACATTGTCTGATGATACGACTGAAGAAGGAGATGGTTAGTCAACCGCCAAAATTTGCTGGAAAAATCTAGAAGGTCGTCGAACCCATTGAATGGAGATTGGCGGGATTGGAGTTAGTTGTGGATGCAAAATCTCAATTTGATTGCTCAAACTGAATTTGTTTTCAATTTACCTAAATTTCCTCATCCATTCCTAGACCTTTTCTTGGCTCCAAGAGGGCTCTTGGCACAGTTTTCCAGCGCATTTTCTCCGGACAAGTGCATCAATTTCGCAGAGATGGGCAGATATTGTGGAACAAGAAGCTGCTGGAAAGGATGAGCTGAGCAGACAAAAGCCCGAGGGCGTGCGGCGGGTGGTGAATTGATGGGATGTGGAGTATGTCGCTCTAATTGGCGCATTATGTAACTGACCGTGCACTTAGTCAATTGTCGGAGTCATTTAAATATTGTTCGACACTGATAACAAGCACCCATTAGCCACATATTGTGTGCCCAGTTTCACAAATTAAAGTGCACACTCCAGCCAGTGATACAAACCGTGCAATTGAGCATGTCAAGTGCGGCCTCTGAACGTAATGCGAATACAAGGTATTGCATAAATACATCAACTCATGGGATTTATGCATAAGCTAATATCCTAAAATACTGAATTAATTTACAACCCAACCTGTTCGTATTATTAATTATCGATACTGTTATCATCTCGGCTTGAATACGACAAATGGCATTATACGATAGGTTATAGGATGAATAGTTTATTGTCCTGCTAATGCAAACACTGTTACCAACAATGGTGTCGGTAGTGGGATCACTGAATCTTGATTTCTTTCTTTCTGCAAGATAAAATATCTTAGAATCATAAGATTGGCCAAATTTACGGCGTAAATGTGCTCACGGGGGAAGTTTAGAGAGATTTTCACTGGAAATCTCGGCATTTGTTCAAGAAATTCAAAGGAAACCCCATTTCTGGCACCATTGTCATTCATGAGAATCCATAATTCCCATGTGAAGCTGCAAAGGCGAGACCCTCCATTGAATACCTGCCAATCAGGGACCCATTTGGAGCATTTCATTATCCGGCATTCACACGCGATGGGATTCAATTTTCCGCCCCATTCTCACATCCGGACAAAAGTTGACCACCCCTCGAGTTCACATGTAAATCCTGTGCGTGGATGGAGGATTTTTCGCTCGCACAGCGTTCAAGTGAGTCCTTGCTAAATTATTTAGAATCAATCAGCATCTTTTGCATATTTTACAGCTTTCCTGCGTGATAAGCTTTCAATTTTCCTGGAAAGCCCAGAGAGAAAAAGTTGCGCGTGGGAAAAGCGGAGAGCTTCGGTGTGTATGGAGGGTAAAAATCTCCTTTACTAAAATTCAATTGGTCTGCCAAATAAAACTTATTGTTGAATGCGAAGAGAGAAGTGTAGAGTCAGAACCGTGAAACTTTTCCCCTGAAATAAGCTCAAATATCGAGGGTATTTCTTCTGATCCCACTTCCGCAGTGTTTTACCTTTTCCAAATCCCATGCGAATGGTGCGAAAAAAAGCTGGTAAAGTTTTCAAAGAGAACAAAACTAATTACAGAAAGAACACTCAGACATAATGAAAAGCTCAAAAGCTCTAAAAATCATTAGCATTTATGAAAACAACAATACACAATACATATGTATGTACACACTAAACCACATTCAATTTTGCCATGAATCATTGTGTTCAATTGAATCTCTTCCCAATGGAAAATTCCATTCAAATTAATTTACAAAAAAAATCATCGAACAATAGAGAGTGGAAAAATTTCCAAATATTGATAACGCAGGGCAGGTTTTTACCATTCTCCGAAAGCAGGTATTCGTCTCGTGGAAATAAATATAACGAGGTTTCCAATTCAATTAAGCTTTCTACCTTTCACTGGCATTTTCCCACTCACTCCAGTGATTTGCAAAGCATGAATTTTCAATGAACAACCACACGAGGTTGTATAATCGAAAAGCACTCAAAAGCTTCAACAACCATTGAACCTATAAAAGTCAGACAGGATTTGTTTCAATGAGAAATAAATACATGAAAAAATGTATACAACAAACTTCTGTGCAGAAGAGAAAGTTACGTTTTTTGACCTGCGAAATTTTGTCAATGAATAAATAAAATATTGCCATACACAAATATGGGAAATTTAATTACGCGCTCGTCAAGAGCTCTACATGGAGTTTTCACTGCACATTTGAATCATAGCTATGTTCTGATTTTTCTTTTCCGCATACAGTTTTGGATCCCAACATAAACACTCAAGAAATTCATTCCGCATATTTTTTCGGTGGATGTTTCTGCAAAAATATCCTGATAAAGACAATTTCTGTGTTATTCTTTCAGGGCAATATTTTTATATGCACACACCGTGAAGAATCTCATAATGTGCATCTTTTTCCCATGTTTTCCCATCCACTTCACTCATGCGAGCACATCTTTTTTTGGCCTGGCTGCTGTAAAAAAAAATCCACCCCCGCATTTTATGTGTTCTCTCAAAACATGTATATGGTTCACATTTCCGCGAAGGATTGCGGCTTCGAGGGAAAAAATGTTGCCTTTTCCTGGAGAAGAGGACTTCACCCTCTCAGCTTGGAGCGAGTCACACGTGACTCGACTTGCAGATTAAAACGTGAAAAATGCGTGCTTCAGTGATTTTGGCCAAGCTTACACTTTTAATAATTCATTTAAAAGTCCTCTCGTGCGGAAAAGAGAAAAGACAGCAACACCAAATTACATTACCCGAGACGCCTTCTCAACATTTCACTCTTCGACAGTTTACAGAAGAGTTTTCCTGGGGCCTAATTAATCAAATTTCGCAACACACCGCACGACAGAAGAAATAAGACTCATAATATATGTACATGGCCATGAGAACGAAGGGTTGTCTTTCTATTTAACCAGAGAAATTACCTCTTAGACATTTTAGGCATCAGACAAGCATCTGAGCAAATACTCATGTTGTGTAAATTGCAAGCATTTGAAATTTGTCCAGAATACAGTGGATAAATTACAAAAGCTCCGCATGGTAACTGAAATATATGGGCAGAAAAATCTGGCACAGAAACCTGTGTCCATGGATAAATTCTGTCAAGTGTAAACCTTGTCCCGAGAGTGGCCAAAGAGTGCAGAAGAAGCTGTGCGTCTAAATAAGAAAATTACATTGAACATTTTCCAATGGTGCACTCATTGGATTACCCCTAACAAATCGCACACAATTTGCAGCAATTTCGCTCACAGCATTTACTTCTCTTGCAGGCGCCATCTCGGCAAACATCCCAGATTGACCCTGAGGCAGACCTATGGAGTTGGGGTGAATCGTGAAAATGTCTGTGATTTGCTGGTGATTTTGAGTGAGTGCGAAATATATATCGAGAGTGGACACTTGATGACTGCCGAGAAATGTGTCTTGATTTCGTGCTGAGGATCAGGCACAGAGTTGAGCTCACGGTCATAATCCGGGTTATTTATGGGTCACACTAGAGTTGGACAATTGTGTCGATACAAAAGTGTGTGAGGCGCCTAATAAATTATACCCCAACAGAGCTCGGCAATTGAGAGAGACACAATCAGAGCGGTGCATTTCGGCAGACGACAATTCAGCGACACAATTGCCAAATTTATCATGATGGAGTGGATAATCTCAGCGAGACTGTGGCCCAAGACGTTCTTCTGGTTCGCCACACTCTTGCTCCTTCTCCGGGACATTAGCAGAGGTAATACATTGTGAATGGCTTGCCATGAAATTCTGATTTATGTCCACACCCACCCTGCGGGATGGGGACAGTAGCCGAGGCACTATTTCATTTATTAAATTGTTGTCAGAGTCGCGCAGAGAGGCTTCCTGGCATTTTGTGAAATAATTAATTGCATTTTATCCAAATGATTTCGCATCGTCCGCGCGCACGAAATTTACAAATTGTGCAAAATTCATTCCAAATTGAACTCAATTAATCACAATTTGTGTAATTATAGAATTTATTTTCTACAAAATTTTGACACACAATGCCATAGGAACAATTTAGAGGAGTGAATATGGCGGAAAAACACCCACATTGTGGCGTAATGGATTTTCGAGAGATTGTGTGGAGTTGAAAAACAAGTGGAGGTGAAATAAAATATATTGCCACGTAATCAATGGGTGTTCAATTGAATTTCATTATTGACAGACGAGAAATTAAAATATATGTATGTGTGGATACATTGAGTAACAATTATAGCTCCACACACTCTGTTTCAATTTTCTCCTGATGTGAGAAATGTTTGGCAAACAAGAAAAGGATCAGATGTTTTGTATGCCAATTTCTCTATTTCTCCCGTCTTTCATCTGAACGCCATTTGAGGAGTAAAACCAAAAATGTCAATTTTATTCAAAGCTACAAAGGACAATAATTTGATTTAAAACAGAATAGATTTGAATTGAAATTCGTATAATGAAATTGTGCATTCAAAGTTTCCCAAATATAGTTGGGATTCCTTAGATAGAACTCAATTTCCAGGAAAATTTAAATTTCATATATCCTTCGTTATTTCTCATATCACTCTTGACTGCATTCATCAGTGAAGTTTAGAAAGCTCATCGCAATCCCTCGGAAATGTTGAAACAAATATTGTGAAAATGCATTCAGAAGTCCCTCGTGAGAAGAGATGCCCAGCAAAAAATACGTTTCACAAGTCGTTATAATATTTGTTTTCATATTTTCAACATATGGCTTTTAAAGAGGTGCAACGCAACATTAAAGTCCACGAGTTGAAGGGCTTCCCAGAAACAAACACGCCAGAGCTTTTTTCCAGAGCGTGTGTTCAGTTAAAAAACACACCGAGGCAAAGGAATGAAAAGTTGAAAAGTATTTTCAGTATTATTTTCCCGCTCATGTTGTGTAGCAAAGATGAATGACAGAGATGCAGAGTGAGAGGAGAGTTGTACATTTCAATCTAGTCTTCTTCGCACTGAACCATATCGAGAAATCTTTTTCATCCCCTCTTTGTTTGTTGTATACATTTTTTACTGCAGCATACTTGGTCTTTTGCTCTTCTTCCACTCACACTTGCATATTTTAGCCATTTACCCTTTCTTCCCCGGAAAAAAATGGAAACTTACGCAACCCCAAAATCACTCTTACACACCAGTAAAGCAAAAGCACAACCAGGAAAAATTTCACATTACCATTCTTCACTCTCGGGTGCGGAAAAATTACACATTACACTCCAAGTGACACCAAGTTAGTGGACTCTCGGAGTTTCATTATTTGCCCTTTCAGCAAAAGTCACCACAGTAAATCACCGCGCTTGCATTAAAGCTCAACCGCGCCTGTTTGCTGCAATAAAAGTAACAATCCTTTGTCACACCTCGTTTTCCCCAAAGGCCAGCAACAAATAATGTTCACGCTGGAGTACATTTTATAATCCATATAATTAAATTTTTCCACACAGAATTCCCTCTGTCTCTTCATCTCAACACCCATCAGGAAAAAAAGCGACTGAAGCCGAAAAAAAGGACGGGAAAAAGAGTCTTTTGCCCAGGCCCAAAAAATGGCACAATAACACAAAGTGACACAACAGTTTCCCATTAAAATTTCTGACAGTGAAAATATTGCGACAAATGATATATGCGTAGTGTTGAATATGGAAAAAGAGGCACATCTAATAAATTTTCGTTACAGCTCTTTTTTGACAATGTTGCGTCAGAAGATATAAATTCAATACACACGACCCGTTTTTGCCTGGCCTGTCGCCCTGGCGATTAAGTCACCTTCCCCTCGCGCGGCAGCTTTTAAAGCTCCCCGGGTCTGTTAAAGCTTCCACCACTTCTTGTCGTCCAATTCCAATATTTCAGGTGGAATTTCACCGTTTCCTTCGTTCTGACTTTCAAGGGAATTTAATGATTTTCCGTGCTTCTTCATTTCACTTTTCGTCTTTGGCATCTTCAGCGAGAAGAGAAAGGAATCTTAAGGGACGAATTACAATACTTCAGTGTCAGAGAGTTTCTTTTGCCAACGCTTTATATAAAATTGGCCTCTCTCCGTCAATTGTATGGATTTCACAGAGTTCCAGCAGATTCGTACTGCATTTTTCAAGCATTCACCCAAAAATAGCAACATACATCCAAGAGTTTCCCAATTTCTCAGCCCATAGCAATGAAATTTGCTATAGGCGCGCTGAAAACTTGCTGGCAAACTTATTAAGGCCGCACAGCAAGTCCTTGTTCTCCGCCCAAGACAGTGTGTATAGGAGTTGTGGGAGCAATTTACAAATACGGATTACAAATTCAATAATGTTTGTTCCCGCGGAAAGCGTCAGCAGGAAAGGAGAGCTGAAGAATGGTTGGAACTTTTTCAAGAGCCTCTGTGTTTTCGGAGGTTTCGGCTGCTGAAGGGAGCGCAGAAATTCAAGCGGATGGATGTTGTTGGTTCATGTAATGAAATTATGAGAAAAGTTTCTCGTCAATTTGATGGTTTAATTTTTAATAAACACATCATCGTGGGTGGGCAAGAAAAGAACCCCAGCAGCTATTTGGACCATCGCGGGGAAGAAAAAAGTGACGAGAAAGTTTATAAATCATGGAGATTGCTGATTTTTGGGCTGAACTTCATAACACCCCTTCCTTTCCCGAACTCAATACCCGAGCACGTTCACCCAGTTTCCAAGGGTAGCCCAGTTGAGAGGCAGGGATTGAGATGGAGAGTGTGAGTTTGAAATATGAAATTCTGTGGTTAATATTTCCCTCTCCTGTAAATAATGCAATTGTAATACAATGGAAAATTCCATAAATTTTCCCATCTTCCCGAGTGGCTGAAAGTAAGACACTGTGATTAAATTAGAATATTCAAACCGCACTTCTTGCATGTCAAGATGCATGAAGACAATGCGCAAACTATGAATATCTTGTGGCCATACCAGGACATTTGCAGTTCAAGTATTCCTTGGGAATGCGAGGCATGCAATGAGCTTTCACACATTAGAAAAGCAGAATCTAAAGTATAGAATAGTGAGTTTCAATTACATTGTGAAAATTATGAGTCTTTGGAACACCTCAAAATACTCTGAGATGAATTTTTAAGCAGCCAAAGTGACCGCAAAAAACCTCTTTCCACTATTTCAAAGCCCATAAATTTCCCACCATACAACATTCGAGCGTTCGAACTGGATATTTGAGATCATCGATTCGGAGTGGAAAAAAGTTCAGGAGAATCGCATTAAAATTTATATGCAACATATTTCAAGATGAGCGAAATGCAGGGTAATTTTAAAGTATGAATCAAAGTACTTAAGAGGATGTGGTGAATTTTATGGTGAGTCTGCCGGAAATTACTTTTTGCTGACTTACAACATCGGAGATTTACATTTTCAATTCCTGATTCTGCACTCTGGCTGATAGTGCAGTTCTACACCTATGAACAGTTTGGGAGATATATGGCAATATTAAAGCTAATTTTATACTTCTTCATTCAGGGTTCGTACTGAAACGAAGGATTATTTAAGCGCAGAGAGCATTCTCTCTTTTCCTACTCGGAAAAACCGTGTGAAATCTCATGATGATTTATTTAAAAAGTTGTTATGTACACGCGATCCTCAGAGAGCTTTTTTTCTGCAATAAGGCACGAAACGACTGATTTTCAGTTGATTTTATCGGCACTTTCGTGAGAGGATGAACTTGGCAGCAGCCATAAAATCTCTACAAATTCTCACCTTCGGCAATCTTATTTGCCCCATGCAAATTTCAAATCAGTTTAACTGAATACACATTCCCAAAACCCCAAGAAATACCCTTCACTTCTGTATGGGCGCATCAAGTTCTTCACCGCAAAAAATACGACACTCATTATGGCACCTTTTCCTCGGGAGGACCAAAGCCATATAAGCGATTTCACCGGTGAAATGTCTGCCGAGAGGCTTTGAATGTCGCACACACTTTCATAAATATGTCAAAAAGATCCTCTCGTGGGGGCGGAAAGCTCACATTGTTCCACACACACGCACACGCAAACATTTTCCAACAATGAGTGAAAAACTCAATTTGGTTTAACAAGCACCCCGAGGTTTTATAGGCCGGCGAGAGTATTTGTTCAGCGATAGAGCGGCTCTTTAGTGAAATTTCAAATTGTGGTGAATTCCGAGGTCCTTTCATCAACCCACAAACACCCAAAAAGATTGCCTTTTTCGCAAAGAAAATTGCCTCAAGATCTACATGATTGCGGAAATGTTCTACATTTGAAGACTGGCAACAAATGCTGAAATATTCAAAATCTAATTATTGCTGCACAGTATTTGGGAAAAGAATGCAAATGTTTGCTTTAAAAACGTATAATTCCCGAATTCATCAGCATTTTGAGAAGCAATTTATTGGGGAGTCAGAGGAGAAATCAATTTGGGTGATTGTTGAGTAAATAGAATCTCAAATATACGGATGTGAAAATCAAACCGTTTGACTTGAAGCAATAAATTGAGGAAATATGAATGCTCACAGCATCCAATTCCATCTCAAAATTTATTATTTAATAGAGTGAATTTGAGAAAATCATAAATTCACGGATATATTTGCGTACGAGCCCTTCTCGCATTGCGGAAAATGTTCTCTCCATGTTCACCTTCAGTGAAAAGGTGATTTTTATGACGACAAAATACAGGGCGAATTTGGGACTTTCCCTCTATTTTGATTTTTATGACTATAGAGGATTTTTCCACCCCTCCATTTGCCTTTCAACCCTGGTATCAT